AGAGCACACATTTTGTGATATGAAGAAGCGTAGCTTTGAGATGTTCTTTAAATAATAAAATGTCGTTCTGGTATTTGGATTTATAACGGTCAGAGATTCCTGTTCTGCTCGCTCTATTTCAATTTATGGACTCGTCATTATGTCTTACATTTGACAACTTTTGAGCCCGAAAAATAAATATTGAAAGGATTTAGAGTTTATCCCTCATGATTATATTCTTGGCAGCAGAGCTGGATGACCAACTGGCCAAAGTGGGCATCGTCCCCGGACCCCCGGGGACGGAAAGGCTCCCGATCCATCCCGCTGTTAGTTTGTGGTAATTAAATTAAAAGCATGTGAAGTTTACTTCCTAAAAAGCACAACATGAACGGAAATGAGGAAGAGGGCCTCAAGCAGAATACAGAACCATGCATGCAGAGTTTGTTTTAGTGCTTCAGTTTGCACCAATTAAAACTCGATAATAACTTTTGGTGTGGCTGCACAGGACTGTTCATGTCAAAGAAATCTTGATGGATCTTGGACAGCCTGAGCCAAAGCACAGCGCCCCCTGTACTTCAGAGAGCCAGCTCAGAAGGATTTTACAGAATATGTGACCTTTAAAAATCTACAAAGCTGAATTGAATCATTTCCAAAGATCTAAAATGTGACTAATGCAGCATCACGTCTTAAGTAAAAACCTTTTAAGAAGCTCCGAGTGAGATGTGACCAGATAGAGAGACTTTTTGACAAACGTGCATCGTGATGGAGTCATTCCAGCCTCCTCCTGGCGTGCCTTTTGGAGCGAGCGTGACCTCAGCATGACTTCAAACATCGCAGACTCTTAATTGAGTGGAGCTCCACGATGCTGAGGTGGAGACGAATGGATGAAATACTCTTTTTGAAATGTCAGCAGTGCGTGTCTGTCCACTCTGTGATATGGCTTCGCAGTCAGCTTGATCAATACGTGGACGTGCTCGGTCCCACAGCTGCTGACACTTTGTGGAGACGCTCCATTAAGAGTGCGGCGATCTGTGAAGTGGTGGACTCGCAGCGTGTTTGTCTGAGTTCCTTCACACAAACGGCTTTTATGAAGAATACGGCTGGAAGATGGAGGCGATGCATTTACTGTTTAATGTGAGGAAGGTGCTCAGAGTCCACAGAGACAGATAGAATATAAACTGCTGCATGCTCCTGCTGGAGGAGTTTGTAAATGAATCACTCAGGAGGTCTAATAAGAGAGCCAGATTGATTAAAATGTGCAGAGATTGTTGCATGTGACATCCTGAATCATCTCTTTTCAGTTTTATTTTCTGATACTGTGAGGTTGGAGGAAGTTTGCGTCTGCAGACGGAGCATCCCCTCTGCACGCGGTATCTGTCAAAACTTTATCATTCGATCTTCAGGAACAACTCTCCTCCTGCAGACTATGTGCACACGTGTCAGTCCGTCTCCTCCTGAGCTCTGCCGGATGTCAGCAGCAGTCGATTCCAGATTTAAGCAAACTTCAAATGTGTTTACTTCTGGTGCAAAAAGTATGAACAAAAAACACATCCCACTGAGATCGGTTCCTCCTCTGCAGATTTAGTTTGCGAAGAGAAATCGATGTAAATTAAAGAGTGAGTGTGTGTCGTGTTTGTTTGTGTTGGAGTGTAAACTAAGCCTGAGAAACATTAGCTCAAGTATAGATTTAAGTGTCATGACTTTCACAAAGAGTCATGCTGTTTATAGTCGACAGAGGGCCACACAGCTATATGTGCATGCTGATTTACACAAACATTTGCACAAAAAGTCGGATTATTTGATTATAAATGAAACCTCGAGCATGCAGGCCCCTCCCCCTCCAAGTTCGATTGACAGCTGCAGGGTGAGTCACATGGCCGAAGTTTGAAACGCTGTTTTCCTCCGTATAAAACTTTTCTCCTCTCGTAAAATAACTCTCTCTCTTTTTCTCTCTCTCATTGCCGGCTCCACATCCTTGTTAGCGTAGCAGAAACTATAAGACATGTTTTCCTCCATGTCTGGCAGTTGTCACTGATTGTTACCTTGGAAACGGAGAGGAGCCTCGGGGCATGATGGGAAACCTTTCCGGCTAAAAGGGTCAGTTTATATATGAAAAAAGGAAAAGAATATAACTTTATAAGAACCCTGGCTAGTTATAGAGTTCCGTATTTCATGGTGTTTGTCAGTGTGCTCTCTCCACAGCTCCATACGTTCCTTCTTAATATTTAATTTTGCAGCTTTCACAGTAAATAGTTTGAGTAAAAAAGAAAGCCTCAGCTCACCGCTGGAGTTTTTTATGAAATGTTACTCAAACAGGGGGGATTCTGCATTACTTTGGGACTATTTTCTGTGGTGGATGAATCCATTGTAGGTGTGTTTGTGGCAGCAGGACGGTCGGTGTGTGTAGTACGACGGCATTCACGGTCACTCTAGTCAATGCTACTATTTTCACATCAAGCGCCAAAACCGTGGTGCTGATGGAACGCAGCGCACACCCGGACTACGGGAAAATTGTGGGTGAGAGCCACTTTGAGGGCAAAGGTCATCCTTCAAGACCCTCTGCACCGTCCTCATGCAGAGTCTAGGTTCACTTTTATAAGGAGGACCAAATCAGACAGATGGCTTCAGAAATATGACCAATCAGCTGTAGGCTTTGTTGCCACAACACTGGCAACAAGACATGCAAACCAGCAAATCTTGTAAGGACAGAAACACAAATATCTCACAGAGAGTCTGAAGTCAGAACAAACACACAACAGAGAGAGAGAGAGAGAGAGAGAGAGAGAGAGTAAAAAGGAAGAGCACGAGAGTAGTAGACGGAGGGAGTGAAGAGAGACGCTGAATCTCCTGGAGGATGAAGACCCAGATCCAAACATCTGGAATGTGGCAGCGACAGTCAGGAGAGGGAGAGGAGACGGGTCCTGGGACGGCAGATGGTCCTGAACGGAGAAAGAGAGGAGAGAGCAACAAGGAGAAAGTAGGAAGAGAGAGAGAGAGAGAGAGAGAGAGAGAGAGAGCGCGCACACATCTGTGAGTGTGGGATCAAAACAAACAGTGGAGGTTTACTCTCACAGACAGAGCCCAGCTGCTCTTCTGCAGGATCGACTCCAGCGCCAGAGCTCATCGCTGACATCTTATGTTTATATAAGAGAGACAAAGAAAGGAGCCAGGAATCAATATCGTCTGTCCCTGCAGGGGGCGCTGGAGTCTCATCGATGGCGGTCTCCATGCTGGAAATGCTGTCTCAGCCTAACGACAGGCTGAGAGCTGGAGCTGAGGCGGGTTTTAAGACTCCTGACAAACCGTTACACCGCGCCCACCTTTAGGTCTCTCACACGCGTACAGTAGAATAACAATCGGAGCCTTTCCGGGACTTTTAGAGGAAAATAATGAGCCAGTGGGCTTCATAATTCAAAAACATTTTGTACCTCTCAGTCATTCAGACCCTAAACGTCTGAAAAGACTTCACAGGTTTTAGAAGAAACCACAAGCAGATTTTCTGCCGTGTTTGTGGAGCTCTGCCTCGTCTGAGTCGATGTGTTCGCAGGCTGACACGCCGCCATGACAGCTCCTCAGTAACCGCCCCGGATCCTCTCGGTTCTGTTTCATTAATCCCAGTTGAAAAAGTGTTCAGTTTAAAAATCCTGCACGCAGAGATTGGCGTGTACTTTGACTCTATTAGCAGAGCTGCTCTCATTTATTCATGCGGCCTTTTCATTTATATTTGATATCAGAAAGGAGTCAGTGGCGGTCAGTGCGAGACTGAATAATTGATTCAGGCAGACTTTGAGTGGCAGGCGCCGTTATTTGACCGAGAGGGTAGTTAATCAACAGTTTGTGATTGGAGCAGGGGGCTCAGGGATTTTTCTTCAACTAAAAAACACTTAATTTATAAAGAAATGTATAATTTAAAGCATGTCTTTAGAAAACAGGGTAATGGAATGAGACCGGATCTCCAACAGGTTATTGAATTATAACTCGCATGCATGTCATCTACTTTTGAAAATGTTCATGAGATCAGATTTCTGAGTGAGCAGGCTTTGTGGAATCCACTCACAGAGGAGATTTAAATATGATTATTAACGTCTCCCTTTGACGAGTTTCTGCCAGTACATGTAGATGTATAAACATTCAGTTGTCATGAAGATAGAAATGAGCTCTAGAGACCCAAACTGTTTGTGTACCAGGATGTAAACATGTTTATTTCTCCTGTTAAGTTGGACATTTTAACATGGAGCTCTATGGGGACTGACTCACTGCAGGAGACAGACTCTAGTGGACACTGGAGGAACTGCAGCTGTTAAGTTGGACATTTTAACATGGGCTCTATGGGGACTGACTCACTGCAGGAGACAGACGCTAGTGGACACTGGAGGAACTGCAGCTGTTAAGTTGGACATTTTAACATGGGGCTCTATGGGGACTGACTCACTGCAGGAGACAGACTCTAGTGGACACTGGAGGAACTGCAGCTGTTAAGTTGGACATTTTAACATGGGGCTCTATGGGGACTGACTCACTGCAGGAGACAGACTCTAGTGGACACTGGAGGAACTGCAGCTGTTAAGTTGAACATTTTAACATGGGGCTCTATGGGGACTGACTCACTGCAGGAGACAGACTCTAGTGGACACTGGAGGAACTGCAGCTGTTAAGTTGGACATTTTAACATGGGGCTCTATGGGGACTGACTCACTGCAGGAGACAGACTCTAGTGGACAATGGAGGAACTGCAGCTGTTAAGTTGGACATTTTAACATGGGGCTCTATGGGGACTGACTCACTGCAGGAGACAGACTCTAGTGGACACTGGAGGAACTGCAGCTGTAAAGTTGAACATTTTAACATGGGCTCTATGGGGACTGACTCACTGCAGGAGACAGACTCTAGTGGACACTGGAGGAACTGCAGTTGTTGGCGCTTGTAACAGTGGGTGTATTGTTCAATCCTGCAGGTTGCTGCTTTGATTGCTGCGTTGCTAAATAAGTAACTGACTGTTGTTTTTTTTGTCTTTCTTGCAGGATATTGGATCAGGCTGGAGCTCAGGTAACCAATCAGAGTCCTAGGCTTTCTCCTTCTCTGGACGGGGGGAGTCGTACAGCGGCTGCAGATCTCCAAGCAGGCTCTCATGATGGGGAGCACTGAGAAAGCTGCTCTCATTGGCTGGAGCTCTTTGGTTCAGCTCGCAGCCTGAGGAGGAACAGGAAGTATCTTGGTGGAGGGGCGGGGGGCGCGCCAAAGGACGACCCGAGGGTGGACCGTAACCACGACCTGCCAGGCTCAGGCTCAGCACCGCGGGAGCATGTCAGCGTCCGGAGTCTCTTCATGGATGTGTCGCTCCACGGCCGGGGTCAACCCTCTGCTGTTGGTGGGGCTAGCGTCCATTTTTGCGGCCGCTGCTCAGACCCAGCAGCACCCCGTCGTCACCACTAATTACGGGAAATTGCGAGGAGTGAAGGTTACGTTACCCAACGAGATCCTTGGACCGGTGGAGCAGTATTTGGGGATCCCGTACGCACTCGCCCCTATAGGGGAGCGGAGATTCCAGGCGCCGGAGCCGCCCATGTCCTGGCCGGGAATCAGGAATGCTACTCAGTTTGCTCCGGTTTGTCCTCAGTTCTTAGAGGACCGCTTTTTACTCAACGATATGCTGCCGGTGTGGTTCACGGCTAACTTGGATACAGTGGTTACCTACGTGCAGGAGCAGAGCGAGGACTGCCTTTACCTGAACATCTACGTCCCCACAGAGGACGGTAAGTCCACCCATACGTCCTCTTCCTGTCCTCTTCCTGTCCTCTTCCTGTCTGTCCACGGCTTGTTTCCTGTATCTTCTGGTTAATCTCTGATCGAGTATTGTTGCTTCAAGATGCACAAAGTGATTTTTGTTTTGCTTCCCACTAACGCTATAAATCATCTACATTTGAACCCAAGTTAACTCCTCAACCACCTGCTCATACCTGCAGATAAACTGTGTTTATCCATTAATTATTTCAAGGGGCTTCCCTCATTTAGAGTCCTGCAGCTGTTTTAAAGATGGAGCAAAAACAGAAACAGGACAGATTTAACCATTTATACCAGTGGTGTCCAAACTTTTTTTCTTGCGGGCCAAAATTGTCGTGTTAGAATCGTTCGCGGGCCACAGGTTTTTTTTTTTTTTAAATATAGTTGAAAAAATAATAAAGCTTTGTAGATCAGAATCAAAAGGCTCGCTAAAGAAACCCTTTAATAAAAGGAAATCAAATATTTTGATTTCTTCGTTCTACTTTATTTGTTTTTTTCTCAGATCCTGTAACATGGTTTGTTTTTGGAAAAGCTTTCTGCATTTAGTTCAGGTCATTAAATGGTTAAACAGTCCGCTTGTCTGCTTGTTGCATACGTTTTTTTTCATAGTTTACAAAAAATTTGGAAAATACGAAAAGCTGTAGATTTAAAAAAAACAACAACATACATGTTACTGAACATTTTCTATTTTAGGAATATTGTTCAGCCCTTGTTAACATGAAAAAGAAAAATAAGTAGTGGGACAAACTACCAAACTCCATTTGATCTGCAGAGTCCCTCTGCACCTTTAAGAAAAAGCTAAAGACCCAGCTCTTTGTGAACAGTTGATTGTTGTAGTTGCTGCTGTGGACGAGTACAGAATGTTTGTGTCCAGTCTGTGTTGAGCTTCAGGTGATTCATTGTTGACTCCAGACGACACCTGGACTTCACCTGCTGTGGTTCACAGGGCTAATGGTTGGACGGTCGTGCTGCTGTGGCTTTGCAGAGAAACTTTCCGACTTGTGATGAAGAGCAGGTTACAATATTTGTAAGACACACAAGGAAACTGAATCTTTCAAGGCAGAGGTAGAAGTAGAAGTTGTTAAGCAGCAAACGAAAGCAGGAGCATCTCAAGAAAGTGTTTTAAAGGTCCTGCCCTCCTTTTGAGCATCCTGTTCGGTCTGCTGATGGACACTGACAGGATGCACAACATATGTACTGTAAACATTCACCTTTTTATTCTGCTGCACAGGGCTCTAAATGAGCTTTACAGCTAACTCCCGCTTTGTGGGTGTAGTCTTCATGACCACACCTAAAAGAAAATCGACAAACTGAGGGATAGGAGGCGGAGGGGGTCACCTTGGCTTTGCCTTGGGGTCTGCCTGCTGTTTATTATGACAGTGATTGCATTCTTCTGCTTTTGGTAAGCTAATCAGTCCTAATTTAGATTTGAAGATAGGCGTGAAATGCTGCAGAGTCACATGAGGCATGTTGTTTTTGAGTGGCAGCTGTCACATTTTCCAAAAGGTTTGATTTTCACACTGACTGGCTGCTATTGAAATCATGAATTCAGCGTGTTGACTCTTAAAATGAAAAGCTCTACGATGATGTTTTCGTCCTTTACGGCTTATTTTCTCGTCTCTATATGAAGACAATGATGTAAAATGAAAGAAAAAAAGAGTTAATGTCCCCTTCAGGAAGGTCAGGGTCATGTTTTACAGGAGAGGACCAGGTTAATGAAGCTCACATCTACTGGATCAGAAAGTCGCACATTCTCTCTTTAACTTGAATTTAAATGGCGTCCTTTCCTCTCAGGGCGTTTCCTGCCAGTTCAGATGTTTCTACATTTCTTTAGAGGCAAAGAAAGAGATGCTTGTTTCCTTTAAGTGAATTAAAAGATGATTTTCAACACGATTGAGATCCTTTATTTGTACAAGCTTGTAAAAGCTTTTTAACATCTGATTAGTGTTTCGTATTCCAACAGGCCGTCTCATGACCTTGATTAATAAAGATTTTAGTATTTTCTGTCTTTTAAAATCCCCCGCAGTCTAATCAGTTTAAATACGTCCCAAAGAGAGAACAGGGAGCTTCTTAAAGTGCCGAGAGCCGCTTTGAGCTGCGACTGATAAGAGTTCAGTGTGAGATGGAAACAAAAGAGAAGCTCCAGATGTAAAAGTCGGCGTCGCTCTGAAAAAAAGAAGTGTGTTTCGACAGAAGACGGAGTGTCTGCAGGTCAGAGGGGAAGCACATTAACGTGAGTGTGTGTGTGTGAGATCTCTGACAGCTCAGCTCTATATTTAGTCTGAGCTCCTCCGTACAGGGCAGATTAAAAAGTGCAGGAGGAGGATAATCTCACAATCCTGTGTCGGTGCACGGTCGGAGGCTTTTCTCAAATCTTTTAGTGTAAAAAAAGTTATTGTACTCGGTTTAGAGGTGAGCCAATAAATCTGCACACCTGTATGTAGAATAAAGTCTGCTTTTGTGCATGTCTGATAAAGTGGGAGACGCACAGACTCGGCCCGGTCTGTGCAGGTTTTAGTGCCTCTCATAACCTCTCCATTTTTCAGAAGCATCTCTAATATTGATCTTAGTTTGAGCACGTTTCTGCTCGTGGAGCTTATTAGAAACATGCAGAGGCTTTTTAGGTCGGGTACAATCACTTCTATCTGAACCACTTCTCTTGACCGCTTCCATCGCTGCAACACCTGTTGACCTGATAACTGCTCTCATATCTGGCAAACCGAGGGGCGTCCAAAACGGCCGTGTTGGGGTGTGTCTTAAACCGCCTACCTTCTCTGGTCCAAACAAATCCAGAGCATTCAGGAGCAGAATCTAAAGTTAGAAGGAGGACATACTGGCTGCTGCATTGTTAATGAATTAAGGAGATGTGTGTTAGGAAGCATGCTGCCATCAAACATTCTGTGTAGTAAGAGAGTTTGGTGATTTCAGCTCAAAGCTAACGCTTTTAATTCTGCAAGAGGGGAATAAATAGGTTGCAGCACATCTTTCAGAGCAACTCATTGATGAACCATCAAGATGACCTGTTTTGCCCTTTAAGGGGAGAAAGACTCAGATTGACTTGAAAATCTTTGATGGCATGTCTCATGTCCACGTCTTTAACAGAAGAAAGAGATCTCGTTGTGAAATGTAAAGCAGTCAAACTAGCAGCCTCAGTCATGCTGGTGTCGAGGCAGTAAAGCAGCTTTATCTTCTGCAGCAGCTGCAAAGACTGACAATCAGAATGAGGATGTTTCTTCTGGAGGGGCTTTTTTTGAAACAGGAAGACAAAAGCACTCTGCCTCTTCTGTGTTTTTAATTGTGGACATCTCTCACACCAGTTGTGTTTTAATGCCCTGCACTCATTCTGAATGTGAGAGCGTGTTCAGTATTAAAGCCGTTCCCTCCACAGGCACCGCCACCGGCTTCATGTTCCAGCAGCAGCCGTGATTTATTCGGAGCCTAAAAAAAGAGGAACATTTCTCAGCGTCCTGAGCAGAGCTGGAGCACGCCGCTCCTTAAATTAAAACAGTCTTTGCAGCACTTTATAAGGCGAAGATAAAACGAGGTAAACTGAGGGAGAAGAAAATGGCTTTAAGTCTGCATTTTCCGAGCCGCTGCAGCTCCACTGTATTTACTTACATCTCGATGCCAACACATCGAGTGATTATGTAATTTGTAAAGTGTAGAGTCAGCACTTTACTTAGAGCCTGTAGCCCGTAGCCCAAAATCTGTGCAACTCTCAGCCACAGCCTCCCTGCAGCTCTCAGGGAAGTCGAACTAAACCCTGAGAGGAATATTTTTTCTACTTTTCAAGGTTTTATTGCTGTGAAAAATTAAGTTATCAAAGCAACAATCTGTAACTTCTCCTCCTTCAAACAGTCGTTTCAAAGTCGATCTAATAGAACAAAAACCTCCAACAGGGAGAATATTGTTCATCTCATGTCCACAGAGTGCCCAGGTCGCCTGTTTTCAGCACTATGTAACTTCTGCAGCAGTCTCTGTACTGTTTGATACAACAGCTGAGGAGAAGAGGAAGAGGAGTGAGAGTAAGAGAGAGTGAGCGAGTGAGAATAAGGAATAAGAAGGTTGCTGTGGCTGTGTAGAAGCTGTGTGGATAGTTGCATACGGGTAAATGTTTCACCTTTTCCCTTCCTGAGACTCAATTCAGGCAAGTCGTGACTTGTGCACGCTCCTCTCTGCACAAAATGTCACCAAAACCTGAAGTTTCCCTCCGGCTCTGGGTGACTCACGTTCAGAGGCTTTAGAAAAAGAAATCAATCGGAGGCTTTCTTGGCAGAAATAAACGCTGCTACCTTCTGATAATCTGACTCCTTTTTTGGCTTTCAGTCTGTGTTTTCCTGCGCGGCGGCTGATGACGTTCAGACGCAGGGTGGAGGAAATGACTCGAGGCCGGGTCACGACGTGGCAGAGGAGAGATGGAGAAGTGGTGTCTATGTCTGTGTCGCTCAGATAAGACAGCAGTGAGGATGTGACGTTTGGAGGCTATAATTTTGAGACATGCAGCGCTCGGTTAACATCAGGCTGTTTGTGAAGGAAAGAGAGGAAATCACACAAACAGTGACTGATACAGATCAATATGGAGACACTCTTTACTTCACCTTATATTTAGGAGTGGGTTTGTTTTTTGTGATCGCTGTCTTTCTCTTCTTCTGGGGCTCGAAAATCACATCGCTGTGAGGAGGCTGTGGCCTCACAGCAAGGAGGTTCCTGGTTTGAATCCCCGTCTGACAGGAGCCTCTCCCCTCGAGCACTGACATTGAACTCATCTTCATGTTTCCTGTTGATTCAGTCTTGCTTGTAAGTCGTGTGTGTGTGTGTGTGTGTGTGTGTGTGTGTTTATGAGCAGCCGGAGCAGATGTGTGTGTTCACGCTCGGCCAGGTTACAGCCACATGGCACCGGCGTGTGTTTGTGCAGCTTGCTCTCTCGGTTGTGCAAACAGAGGCGCTCTGCTGCCACATTAGCCGCCTGCTG